AGTTTGACTCTAGAATCAGATCTGAAACCTCAACTTCTTGTTATTTTACTGATCATAGCCTCCTCCACCCTTGTACCCCTGATCCCACCCACCCCAAACCCCACCTCCAGCATTACCTTCAACCATGCTGCTCTCCTGGGTGCTCACTATTTAATTCACCTTTTCTGAGCAGCATCTTGCCTTGCCTCCTAAAGTAATTAGAAAGATTGGCAGTATTTAAAACTGAGCTATCTGTTAGAAAGGTTGATGGTTGATCTTCATTTTCAACTTGATTAGATTTAGAGTCACCTAGGAGATACATTTCTGGATGTATCTGTGAAGGTCTCTCTCAAAGTTTTAACTAAGAAGAGAATATCTTTGAATAACATAAATATGGGTGGCACCATTTCATGAGCTTGGGTCTTCAAGTGAGTACATAAAGAAAAAAAGCCAATAGAGCAGCATTTCTCAACCTGTGGGTCATGACCCCTGTGGAAGTTGTACAACTCTTTCACAGGGGTCACATATCAAATATCTTGTATAGCAAATACTTACAATTCATAACAGTAGTAAGATTACAGTTATGAAGTAGCAATGAAATAATTTTATGGTTGGGGGTCACAACAACATGAGGAACTGTATTAAATGGTCACAGCATTAGAAAGGTGGAAAACCACTGCAGTAGAGCATACAATTCACCTTCCTCTCTATCAACTAAAATATGAGCAAGCAGCCACATAGCATCTGCCACCACAAAGCCACCTTCCACCATGCCTTCTTAGCCAAGACAGACTGTATCCTCCTCAAACTGTAAGCCAAAATAAACTTCCCATCCATTAAGTAGCAATGAGAAAAGTAATCAACAGACCTGACAATTTAAAATTCCCCCAGGATCTTCTGTTACATTAAAAACTTTGAGTATGTAGCAGAGAGTCTCCAGATCCCAGCACAAAAACATCAGCCAAGATGCATTACATGGTTGCTACTCACAGCCGCTGCCTGTCCATTATCTGGTTCAGGGCTTTCTTCTCTGCTTCTGTCAGTTGATTCTCGTTTCTAACAGCTTTAACACAACTAACAGTCACTGTACTTTTTTTTTGTAAGTAGAAACTCACACTATGTAAGGAACAGCTTAGTGTTGGGTAGAGAATAGACAGCTTATTTACTTTGTGCTTTTAAAATTCAATGAACTTCTCTAAGAAAGATATACAGCCCACCTAATTTTACTGACTCATCTCTCAATAAAGAGCACTTTTGAAGTTATTGAACTCTATACCTAGATCTTAGATTCTTAACAACTCTTATATTTAGCATTAAAAATTATTGTTATTATTTGTGATGCTTGGATTGAATTTTAGGGCCTGGTGTGTGCTATTCTGGTATGTTATCACTAGGTTTTATATATATCCTGCTTTTTTTTTTTTTTAAGATTTATTTATTTATTTATTATGTATACAATTTCCTCTCTGCATGTATCCCTGCAGGCCAGGAGAGGGCACCAGATCGCATTACAGATGGTTGTGAGCCACCATGTGGTTGCTGGGAATTGAACTCAGGACCTCTGGAAGAGCAGCCAGTGCTCTTAACCACTGAGCCATCTCTCCAGCCCGCTTTTTTTTTTTTTTTTTTTTTTTTTTACTTTTCAAAATAAAATTTAAGACAGTCTCACTAAGTTGCAAGATAGAGTTTTGATTCACTGCAGCCTGGGCAGGCTTTGAATTTGCAATCCTCCTGCCTAAGCCTTCCAAGGAGCAGGGATTACAGGCCTGTGTAACTGAAAGTTTTTCTGTGTCCCAGCTGGCAGGCGGTTGGGACAAATCTCTCTCATCCACCAGTCCCACAGCCACTCGTACCCAAGTAAACACACAGAGTCTTATATTAATTAAAACTGTTTGGTCATTAGCTCTATTATTGACTAGCTCTTACATTTAAACTCAGCCCATTTTTGTTAATCTATAAATCACCATATTTTCTATGACTTTACCTGTGTGCCATTACATGCTGCTCCCTGGATGGTGGGCTGGCATCTCCTGACTCAGCCTTCCTCTTCCAAGAATTCTCCTTGTCTGTTTATCCCATCTATACTTCTTGCCTGGCTACTGGCAATCAGCATTTTATTTATCAACCAATTGGAGCAACACATTCATAGCATGCAGAGTACTATCACCCATCATTTCCCATTTTCTTTCTATTTAAAAGGAAAGTTTTAACTTTAACATAGTAAAATTATATATAACAAAACAGTTATCAAGCAAGAATTATAGTTATAATATTAGTCTATTTGTATTTGCAAAAATCAAAGAAGATATCCTATCTATCCTATATTTGTAAGTCTAAAGTTTTATATCTAATTTATCTTTTATCATAACCAAGGAAAATTATAACTATCTAGTCTTCAACTACATCAAAGACCCCAGAAGGACATAATAGGCCTGCTTATCACGCTTAGCATTTTTAGCATCTTTATGATGATATGAGTACCAGCCTGAATATAGCTGACACATCTCAGAGGGTCCAGAATCTCCTCTGGAGCTATTCTTACTGTTCCTGGGAGCCCAAGACACATCTTCCAAACTCATCAAACACTCACCACACTTTGATACTAAACATTTATCATATGCCCAAGTCCTTTAGTGTTTATTACTTAGGTGCTTGCTTCCTCTAACACCAATAGGCATTGAACCTAGAGCCCTCACAGGTAACGATGGTGTACTATCACTAGGGAAAATATTACCAAGTTCAAAGACTAACACAAATCCTCTCATTTATATTGTTCTTTAACCCATGGTCAGATTGTTGACCTCAAGGACATTTGGGAAAGGGGATGCCCCATCTCTCCTGCTCCATCATTTCATATTAACGGCCTCTGGGTCCTCAGAACCCTGACCCTCTACAAAACTATCTTTCTCACAATAATTCTCTGCTTGGTATCCTAAGTGGACATCATGTAGCAAAGGCAATAACTCCCAGAAGTAGAGATCCTTACCCAGGATTCCTAGGGAGCTGGAGGGCCGTGGCCTCCTACAATGTGAGTCAGAAACCCTGAGAAAGCACTCTGGGCCATGTGTCGCATCTCAGGGTGAGTCTGACTCCCTTTTGATGAACTTGGAGGACTCAGGGCTCTAGGGTACATAATGGCACAGGCTGCTACGTTGGCAGCATGTCAGAGAGCTGTTTCTCCACCCAACTTGGACAAAAGTCTCCCAGACAGATGATGTCAGTGGAGCTTGAGGAGAAACTCATTAAAATCTGTGCTCTCAGTGGCTGAGAAAACATTTCCCGGAAACCTCCAGAACCGATGATGTGAACTTAGACTGTGTAGTCATTCTGGAGAGAAACTTGGCAGTACACAGTGAAATTATGAGAGCCTACACCCTGTGAACTCGCTACTTCTCTCTGTGGTCTACAACTCAGAGGAGCTCAGACATGGTCAATAAAGGGACAGGTACAAGGTTGGTCACTGCGACCCTCACAAGGGAATAGTAGTCATGATGTTGGTACTTAGGTTAGCTAACACCTACTAGATGTTTATGTTTTAAGTATTTTAATATTCTCAATACTTGAAGGAGATACCTCTATGAATGTTATTTTAGAAATGAGAGAACTGAAGATTCACAATGCTGAGTAAATGGGCTGAGTTCATACAACTGGAAAGTGGGTTAAAATAACAGGCAATCAGCTCTGAGGGTGTTACACACACACACGGAGAGAGAGAGAGAGAGAGAGAGAGAGAGAGAGAGAGAGAGAGAGAGAGAGAGAGAGAGAGAGAGAGAAAGAAACAATGCAGCACCAGAGCATTTTAAATGTATTACTATGCAGAGACACCCAGCCTATTAGTGAGTCCCCATGAGCTGTCACAAGTGGGATCCAGAGATGACAAAGACATACATAGAATACAAAGAAATAAAACAAGAGAGTGTCTTGCCTAGAACAGAGATAATTGAGTACCTGGAGTTCAGGCGGTGCTTCATTCCACTCACTTCCCCTGACATTCACATCCCCATCCTTACATAATTCCTTCCATACAATTAGAACCAAAGCTTCAGCTAGACTTTAGGGAGGATCAGGGGAGATACATCGCTCTCAGTCCCTTCCTTGGGGTTCCGTCTGGTGAAGAGAATCTTTTAGCTATGTGCATGCTCCCTGGTGCCTTCCTTCACTTCATAGAGTGAGGCATTTCATCCCATTCCATAGGTGAGAAGAAAAAAGTACAGAAAGGAAGCAGCGTTAGTATTACCAGCAGACCATCGCTTCAGCCCTGTGCTATAGAGCATAGCATAGCAAGGGGCCAGGCAGCCACTGGCTTCCCAGAAACAGAGGCACTGTTCTAACAGTGCAGGATGAGACATCAAAACAAGGATGATAATAACGTCTTCTAGAGTTGTTTGTAATATGGTATCATTGCAAACATTGGAGAACATTATTTATTTACATGTCTTGTATTTCCAGGGGCAGCTGACCCTAACACTTAGCATTGTTTACATTTTTGCACAAGGTGGTTGGCCATAAATGAGCATGTCTTGATCTGGTCTTGCCTATACAACTAAAAAGATGAATGTTGATCAAGTATGTTTATCATTCACATACCTGCATATGGTTGTTCCTCATGTAGGAGTGAACATAGTTCGTCCATAGTTAATTCTGTGGCTACATGGGTTTCAAGGAATAATTCAACAGGACATTTTTTAATGGCAAATGCCCAGTGACTACATGAAGTTATCTTCCCTCCCCCCCTTCACCTCACCTCTGCTATCCTCTCCTTTCCTTCACAGTCCCTTTGTGCCCATGACACAGCCAGAGATGGAGGGCTAGTAAGACAGGAGCACCCCCATCTGTCCAACTCTCAACTCCAGACTATTGACTTCTTAGTAGTGGGCAGCTCAGATCTCAGACCAAGAGCGGATCATCTTTTTAACTAATAGAGTCAAACAATGCACACCAGAACTTGAAAAAATAGTTTTTTAATTTAAAAATTCAGTATAATAACAAAATGAGATTCTGTTAATGATTCATGATTGGGCAGCCTCATATCCATAAAATACAAAGGCTCTCTAATGATCTGGCAGAACAGTTGGGTTTTTTGAGGGAGCCTGAATAACGATATTAAACAGCAGCAGATCGGTTAACATCAATTTGTCTTAGGTAACTTTCCTTGTCAGGGTTAGAGCAAAGGGAACTTCTTCCTGCTGGCTTGTTTAGGGAGTTGGCAATGGCCTCTCTTCTAACTGCCCACAAATCTTATAAACACATAGCTCAGGCTTCAGCCTGTGATCAGCATCTCAGATGCTGATTTTGAGTTAATCCATTTAGGGCTGAATTCAGGAGTTCAGTCCAAATCAATGATAATCTGCCTTAGTTTTCTGTTGCTGTACCTAAATACTATGCAGTAGAATAAAGATTTTGCCTTAAGGTTGAGTTGGTCAGTGTTGAGAGAGTTTCTTGCTTTTGGAGACTCTGTAGAGTGGTGAGGTGTCACAGGACATCATAGAAACAGGTGAGCACATCTACAAGAAATGGGGACAAACTGGCTTTTGTACCAGTCTTGAGATTCAGTCTCAAGGTAACTTATTAATTCATGAATGAGAGCAGAACCCTTACAGCCTAATGATGTCTTAAAGATCCCAACCTGTCCCATCTCTTAATACTTTGTAATGCAAATAAGATTTGTGCATGATCTTTGGATGGGGCATTCAAACCATAGCGGTCTCCTGTAAATTTAATATAACAGCGGTGGTAAGGAGCATTATTTACTGTGTGTCAATTACATACATGTGTACTTACTATGTGTCAACCACGATGATAAATGCTTTCTGTGTCTTTTCTCATTAATCTCATTAGAAATCTACTCACACATTTTTAGATAAAAAGGTGACATTCAAATGGACCAAGGTCACCCAGCCATAAAGTTGCATAACTTAAGATTCAAATTAGAGTTGATCTGGCCCAAGTTGGTTCCCTAAACATTCATATCATAGAGAAGCTTCAACCTTTGCATTGGCTTTTGGGCTGTGGTGGGAGCCCCACACCCATCTAGGACAGGAAGTCCACTTATCATTGTTCCTTGATTGACTGGTCAATTTCCGAGCAACACGTTCAAAAGAGTGCATTCAAGGGGAGTGGTCTTTTGCAGCTTGTGCTGTAATGGGCTCAGATCAGGCTTTTTTCTTTGAGAGACCTTTGCTGTCTCAAGCAGACCAATTCCCGTTCCTCCTTTCTCATGACCTACCCACAGGTCCACTGCAGCTGCTTCCTGCTGGCTTTGACTCCGTGCACTGCAGGGTGCACAGTGAGTAACTAGTCCCTTGTGTGGCCCTGAGCAGGGTGGAGAAGTGACCTCATGAATCCAACCTGGTGCCTGATGAGCAGAGAGAAGATGAGGAAGCCTCTCTGAAACTGTGTAGGGGTCCAGGCTGAAAAAGAAGAGGAAATTAAAAATAATAATTTGTCATAATACAAAAAGATTTTCTATTCCCACTGCACCAAGAGAGACACAAAGATCTGACCCCAGGCTTCCTGTAGCCCAAACCACACACCAAACCACATGGGTGGAAGCAGGAAGCTCCTTGTAAATCCATTTCATAGTCACCTTGCTCATTACACGTTCCCAGAAAGAGTCCTTGTGATATTAAGAGGGTCAGTGCAAGAAAGTCCATTCTATAGTTACATGAGCTGAGCCTAAGGAGTCAATGACTTGTCAACATTTAATCAGCCATTTAGGACAGCTGACAAATGAGCAGAATTTGAGCCTGGAAATTTCATATATTTCATTACCTTATTACTGTACTTTTCCATTTCTACAAAAAGATTCATGAATATTGAAATCAAATGTCCTATGATAATATTTTAGGCACTAGCCATGGTTTTTGCTCCTAGTTTTGGGGGCAGATGAAAAAAAATAGCTTTCAGGAAATAGATGAGAGTAAAGCTGGGAGTATTTAAAATCTTACTGAAGTAAGACCGAACAGAAATCCTAAATATTCAGCTCAATGGACTTTCACAAAGAAAATAACAACATGAATCCTGTAGATCAGGAAACATGATTATTTGCATCCTGCTAGCCACTTTTGTGCTAGCAACTAAGTGTACTAGAAGGCAGACCAATGCTAAGATTAAGAGCCACAAAACAAAGTTTTCAGGGGTAACGGAAGAAGGTTCCTTGAGGGGAGTCCTTAGGTGAGGTAATGCAAATATGGCCTGGTACATGAAAATATTTAGGACAGTGTTGTGGCTGGAGAGGGGGGTCAAGAGAGCAGGAAGGTGCCCAAAGAACAAGGCTGAGTCTGCTGTTAGCTCCATAGGAAGGAGGGTGGGGAATCTGGGGAGGGGATGGGAAGACTCATCGTCAGAAGAGCCCCCCAAGACTGTTGCTACTTCTTACCAAATCTGCCTCTGAGCTGACAGTGAGGTCTTCCAAGTTATCCCCACATACACTATTGAGTTTTCTCCTACACTCTGTGAAGTTCCAACAGTGATGAGGAAGAAGGGCATAGCAGATTAGCCAGATGAGGAGAGTTAGAAGAGAATTCTGTAGCTTCAGCTTAGCTATCCAACTCCAATCTGGCTGAGAGCGAAGCGGGTGAAGGAACCACGTACTCATTCCTTGCTCAATTTCAAGAGAACTGAGAAGTGGATGTGGTTGGAACAGAGCCTTCTTCTTTTTTTCTTTTATTGAAAATAGATTCTTTTCTCATATAACATATCCTTATTACAGTTTCCCCTGCCTCTACTCCTCCCAGTTCCTCCCCATCTCACTTCCCATCTGGATCCACCCTATTTCTGTCTCTCATTAGAAGACAACAGGCTTCTAAGAGATAGCAACCAAACGTAACAAAATAAACTATAATAAGATGAAACAAAAAACATCACATCGAGGCTGGACAAGGCAACCCAACAGAAGGATATCGGTGAAATTATTAAGGCCACTCCACATAGTTAAAAGGGAGGTTTATTTTGTGTTGTAACTTACAAGTGAAGGGATAGGTTGCAGGGTCTGGGAAAGGTGTAGAGCAGTCTGGCGGTGTTCTCTGGAGAACTCTGCTCCGTCTACCTCCAGCGTCCTGGGTCCAGGAACTAAGAGAGCTGGCCCATCCGGATCTCCGGTCTTTAGGATCCTCTCTTGGCCCCCCCTTGTAGGCGTGACAGTTACCAAAGCCTCAGTGGGGGTTGCAACTTCCAGATCAAAGCTGGAATGGCTACCCACTACAGAAGGAAAAGAGCCCCAAGAGCAGCACAAGAATCAGAGATCCACTTGTCCACACACTCAGGAGTCCCATAAAAATACAAAGCTGAAAGCTATGATATATACACAGAGGACCTGGTGCAGACCTGCAGGCTCTGTGTTTGCTGCTTCAGTCTCTGTGAGCTCCTATGAGGCTTGCTTCATTGACCCAGAGGGCCTGGTTCTCCTGGTGTTCTCTATCCCCTCTGGCTCTTACCTCACTTTCCACCTCTTCTTTTATGGGGTTCTTGAGCTCTGACAGGAGGGATTTGATGGAGACATTCCATTTAGAGATGTATATTCCAAGGACACTCTCTCTGAATAATGTCTGGCTGTGGGGAAATAGACCGTTCTTTAGAAAAAGTTGGTGTATTAATTGTAGTCAATGTGATGTGGGTGGTATCAAAGCTGAAACTTCAACTTTGCTCATGTTTTAAATATCACTGCTTATTTAACTGAAAACTGAATTTTTTATCTATGTAAGATAGCCTTATTAATCTAAATATTTCAAAGCAGAAACTCTAAAAATATGAAGCTATGTTAATAATGGGTAGATTAATCACCTTCTCATTAACTACTTATTTAAGCCCAAGAAAGAAACTGAGGTCTTAGTTATCTGAACTGTTGTTCCCCAAGGAGGTTCTTTCAGAACAAGGGAGAGGTCCATGACAATTAGACCAGAGAAAGCAATTGGGAAAATTTCAGTGGCAGGTAAATGCATATATAGGGTACAGTGTGGTGGTAGTGGTAGTGGTAGTGGTGGTATGTATGAAAGTGTGACAGAGTTATGAAGAGAACTAGTCTGCCTTTGGTAATTACCAAACACCCATCTTGTCCATCACTGCCTTACTCTTCCCTCCCTGTCTCCTTCAAACCTCGAGTGCCATCTAGTTCTTGCCTTGGGTCCAAATCCTTATCACAAAGATTGGCTTAGCCTTCCCAGGCAGATAAAACAAAGCACATCAGACTATGTCATTTTAAAGCAACAACAATGTATTGTTCACAGTCCTGGAAATTGAGCCATCCAAATAAAGGGGACCATAGATTGTTAAGTGTTTGGTGTGAGGTTGTCCTTAAAAGATGGCATCTTTTTTGTGATCCCTTTCAAAAGCCATCTATCCTCTTTTTGTCTTTTTGGTTATGAACCAAGCCTTTAATGGCTGATCCATCTCTCCAGCATCCCTTGGTTTTTAAAGACAACTAATTAATTCTATTCATCAGGTACCATCTCTCATTATCTAATCATCCCAGCCTCTTAAAACATCACATTCAGGCTTAGAGGTCAAGAGGTGAATTGGTTGCAGAACACAGACAATTCATGTTGTACCACAGTTGTTTGTTTATTCCTTCCCCTCCTTCTTCAGCTTCCTCCCCTCTCCCTTCCCCTCCTCTTCCTTGTTTTTTTTTTTAAGAATTTTGAAAAGATTTATTTATTTGTGTTTACTTGTATGAGTGTTTTGCCTACATGTATGCATGAATGTGAACCACATGTGTATGCCTGGTGCAAGCAGAGGTCAGAAGAGGGTATCAGATCCCCTGGAACTAGAGTGACAGACAGTTGTGAGATGCCAAGTGGGTGCTGGGAACCAAACCCAAGTTCTCTAGAAGAGCAGTCCATGCTCTTAGGCACACACTACAATTTTAAAACACTTCTAACTCATTATTTGAGGAGATATTTAGCCTGGTTATTTTAAAGTCTGTGAAGCAATATCCACCTGTACTGAAGCCAGTGCAGAGTCTAAGTAAGCCTAAATTGTTTTCACTTACCTGCTTTCTTATCAATTTCAGAGGTCCCCTGGATAACAATATATTCTCATTAGTTCTGTGGTAGATATTGAGATGACCTAAGTTTTTCAAGAACTTCATCAGACTTAAAACCAGTTGAAATCACTCAGCCTTCATCTGGGTTCTATAAGAGTCCAATGGGTGGCCATTTTGAAATCCGTGGGCCCAGAGTGTAGCCTCAGAGTGCAGTTAAGGTGCTTTAAGGTGTCGTATAAAGAACACTGGAATTTGATAGTTTCAGCACATACTGCTCCAGTTACCTTTCCTCATACCTCAGGACACCAGGCTTTGTTTCCATTAATACTCTCAAACCATTTCCTCCAGCTTGACCCTCCCTCTTCCTCACCTTTGGCTGCCTGGTGAATAATGCTTTGGGGGCTGTGTGTGTGTGTGTGTGTGTGTGTGTGTGTGTGTGTGTGTGTGTTACCTTTTGCTGTTAAAACTTTTTGCTGACTCCAAGAGCTAAGAGGTAGGGCTTGTGAACATAGGAACGATTTGCCCTCTTTCAAGATGGAGAGTGAGGCACTACAGGAATGGCAGAGGCCCCAAAAGGAGGTCTGTGAAGGAAAGGCTGGAACTACAACACAGAGAGTTGGAAGTCTGAATGGGAGAGCAAAATGAGGGATCAGGAAGTGTAAAGTTCACTCAGCCCATACCAGTGAAAAGTACCAAAACATCATTAAAGATAAGAATCGACCCACAGCCCAGGAGCTATATGAAAAGTGTCAGTGAATACTCTTCCAATTACTCTAAGATGGGAAAGTGATTAGATTTGTTGTTCCCATTTGGTAAGCATATAATCAAATTTAACAACTTTGTACATGGTCACACACTTAGAATTGTACTTGAATCCAGCTCTCCTTGACTCAAATGGCCACGTTCTTGTCACAAAATTCTAATAACTCCTAAAATTGTTCCAAACTACAGGGACTCTAGATAGGTGTGTTGCAGTGGAATGTGAGTTCTTTAGCTCTATTTGGATGTCAACCACAAATAGGCAAGATGTAGCTCCTTTCCTGCCAGGATCTGAGAACTTCAGATGCTGGTGCCCTCTGCCCTGAGCATTCTAGCTTGGGTTTTAAGTGCTGGTCTCCTAGAAACTATCACTTTGTGTAACAGCTCTGAGTTTAGAGTGTCAGGACCCTCAACTCAGCATTATATGTCCTTGGATGACAGAACTAGTCATTTTGATGGCTTTCTAGTATTCTCTTAGGGCTTGTAGCATTTCTGCCATCTCAGCTTTTAGTGACTTACTTTGGGAATCCTAAACTCTCCTCTGTATTTTCCCTTCTTGGCCTTAATTTGAGGTTCTCACAGTCTCTCTTCTTCAGCCATCTTCTAGCTATTGTTGGTTGTACTTGGATGACTTTTAGCCCAGGGGCTGTCTATTCTTTATGCCACCAGCTCACTCTGCTCCAGTAACAATATGGAACACAGTAGGCAGTAGAGCCATTCGGGTGTGACATTATTGAGACATAATACTGCAGCAGCACAGGAGGGTAATGTACAGGCGGGAGGTCTATAGGAATGACCCTGGGGAAGGGAGAACAAGGTTGATCATGCAGACAGTCACACATACACATAGCCTCTCTCTTGCTGGCCATCCACTTTCTACTTTATCATGCTGGTCTGCAGGCACACTGGGCCCACTGCCCTGGTGACCAATCACAAGCAGAGGAGGAATTCCTCCCTCACCATATTGAGATTTGTAGAAATCTTAAAGAAGCAGTAAGTACAGTCATGTGGAATAGTTATACTTATGGTAATATGGGAGTGTTCTGAAGCCATAATGTGTGTGGAACTGAATTCTCCAGAGTTGTTGCAAGGTGTCTGGGTGCTCACAACTGAAACAAAGCCACCCAAAGCGAACCCCAAGCTCGCAACACTAGCCATGGTATCTATGGTGCTTCCTATGCCTGTCATAAAATTGAGAATGTCTGATATTAAATGGGAGACATTTGAGTAGCCATGAGGGGTTTAAAGCAGCCATAGCTGCCACGATGACAACTAGAGACCACCTGCTTGATTGACAGTTCTTATAGTCTGATGACAAAGAGTGTCACACAGCTCCAGGAAAGAGAGAGAAAACAAATGCCGCCTTTGTTCTATCCACCCACACTGGAAGATCGTCTCACTCTGTCTCCTGACCCACACACCAGCATCCTTTGGAACCACACTCCTAGATCCTCCCACACATTGCCAGTGCTTAAGATATTCCTTAATCTAGTCGAGTTTACTGCTTAAACGTAACCATCAAAAGAGCCGAACTTTATAGCTTATCTAGATGTATTGCTATAAATTCTCCAAAGGAAGGAAATGACTAAAATGAAGGGGTCTTAATCATGGAGGTTAAACAATGGTCATCCACACAGCAACTGAAGAGCTGTGTACTAGAAGCACTGTAGCAATAAGATCTAAGAAAGCTCAGGGAGAAAAGGCCGCAAAAACAGGGAAGCCAGGCTTACCATCAGAACTCCCCTTCTTGGCCTTATTTTCAGCTGGCCTCAGTTCTTAGCTGTTTTCTTCATTCTTACCCTCTTTATATATGAATCGAAGTTGCGGTCGCGGTCATCTTATTCCAACCCTTTGCTGGGTGAGTCTTGAGTGACTGTGACTTCATGGTGGTTACATCTAAAGGTTAACTAAGAAAAACACTCCTCTGGATGCTCAAGACTTACATTTTGAGTCAGACTCGCTGATATGAAAATTCTGGTATTGGGTAAAGCAAATGATACCAGGCTGGCACACATGAGCATGCTAATTTTTGTTGTTGTTCTGAGACAGAATTTCTCTGTGTAGCCCTGGCTGTCCTGGAACTCACTTTGTAGACCAGGCTGGCCTTGAACCCAGAGATCCACCCGCCTCTGTCTCCCCAGTGGTGGGATTAAAGGAGTGCACCACCACGTCCTGGCCTGAGTACACTAAGTTTTGATGATCCAATTCTACCCATAATATTCACGCCGCCAACTTCTACCATTTTCTACTGTTCCACCAATGTTATATTTTATAGATTGCCTTCAAATAATTTTATTCTGCCTGTGCTAGTTTGGCCTCCGGTGTGCACTAGGTAAGGAAGTAATGACAATCCTGTTCTAGTATTTTGCTGGATGGTTCTTGGTATCATGAAGGAATGGCGATAGAGACGATCCTTTTGCCCTGATGCTTGCTCACTCGTTCTTCTAAAGTTGAAGAGATTGAATGTAAAATCCCTATTCAGGTCAGGTCTACCGCAGGTGAAATGACTAAATCCAAGGAAAATATACAGAGAATCCTGAGAATGCACAATGCTTGAGAATGTGTTGACAAACTTTGTTAAGTAAATGTCGAAGCTCCATGTCATCCACACAGGGAACACTGCTATAGTTTCAGGGGCAATGGAGATATCTGGTACATGCCTTACAGGGAGACAGTATTTCTGACCTGGGTAAGTAGCTCATGTTTTCCTGACCTTGAAGAAAAACAGTCCTACGTAATGACTCTACAGGGGGTACCTTGGAAGCCTTCTGAGGTATGAAAGAAGGCCAAAGAAGAATGATTGAGACTAAGA